TTTTTTTTTTTTTTTTTTTTTTTTGTTTTGTTTCAGGTGGCTTTCAATTCAGCAGAAGAACTTCATTACACATTCTATCTCTCAATCAATCAGTGGTTTAATAAAATTTTTACATTGCTGAATGCACTCAAATGCTTATTCTATCTCCCATGATTTAATAATGGAGGTTAAGTTCTTCATGTGACAAGTTATGCAAGTTATGCATGTGAAAAGTTATACAAAGTTAAAGAGAACAGAGGGTACAATACATAGAAACCCTTTTAATGTTTTTTTTTTTCTTCAAATATTTGCGAGTGTTTGGATCAACTTAACTTATACAACCTACCTAGCGGTTGCCAACAAATAGGGGTGGCTCGAGCACGAGACATTCAAGGAGGACCAACAAATGAGCAAGCTTCAATAGAGTACCCAAGGCTGCAGAATGAGAGGGAAAAACACATCAATAAGACTTGAAGAATTCTAAGAGAGAACAAACAATTATAAAGACAATGCTACATTCAATGACTTCGAATACTTCCAAAGTTTGCAATTTCAATAGATCATAACCTTCTACATTGTGCAGTGGAAATGTTTGATTTGCAGGTTTTTCTGAGCGACCAAGGATGGTTGAAAGCATATTTAAAAGACAGATTTGATGTGTGATATTCAGAAAGCACACGACTGAAATTTCAGTCATCCCAACATTCTAAAGCTATACAAAATCTGAGTTTCAGAACTTACATACTCTTCGACGTCTCGAGCTTATAATCCGGCCATGCCATCTAGAGCCGACCGAAGAGGCTTCCTTGTGATCCTGGGAAATTGCTATGCACAGTGTCCCGGTCATGCTTGCCACTTGCTGTATTAGAGGATCCATGGCTGCTCTGAGATGGAACAGTATTTCTGTTATGGTCACTGCAAAGGATTAGTCAAATATGGAGGGATGTGGTCTGCATTGTGTGCAGGCAAAGCTCCATGGTTTAAGAAATCTGGCAATACTTTCAATAAGGTGACAATAAAAGTTTGAATAAACTATACTTTCAATAAGGTGACAAGAAAAGTTTGAATAAACTAAACCATAGAAACATTTCAATTCGAAGAAAAATGTGCTACCATAAGTGAACTTTGAATTACTTGTATTACTTGTGTGAGATCCCACGTTAGTTGGAGAGGAAACGAAATATTTCTTATAAATGTGTGAAAATCTCTCTCTAATAGACCCATTTTAAAACCTTGAAGGAAAAACCTAAAGAGAACAATATCTGCTAGCAGTACTAGCGTTATACATAACGGGCCAAAGCCAATATAGAAATCGGCCAAAGCCAATATAGAAATCTTTCCGTATATATTGGGCCCAAAACAGATAATATTTGAAGCTAAAACCTCCCTCTAATAGACGTATTTTAAAAGCAATATATAATAGGTCAAAACAAACAATATCTGCTAACGATTATCCAAGGAATTTTCATCATGTAAAAGGTTGTTCCAAACTTACTACACAATTTGTCTATGAGGATGCCGGAATCTCGTATGGAAGCTGCTTTGGAGGGGGCAAAACAGTTTTAAGCTTCTTCCTCAACTGTTCAAGCTCCCCCAATATGTCTTTTGCATCTGCCTGCAAAAGAGATCTCTCCATGATCAGAAATGCTGCATCGCTCATTTGCCTCCCTCTCTCCAACATTTGTTTGGAGCACTCAAATGCTTCATGAACCATTCCACGGGCACATAATCCTGTTACCAACACATCCAATACATGACTATGAGGGCAGTATCCCTTCTCTACCAGATAGCCCCACAAATCCAAACCCAAATCAACTCGACGATTTTCACAGAAAAACTTCATGATCATGACTACTGTTCGTGTTTTCGGCACAAAATTCCGTCGTATCATTTTTCTATACAACTCATAAAAACCATGAACATCCTCCAATTTCATCAGGCCTACGAACATCATATGATAGGTCATACTGTCATGTCCAATGTGTTTAGCTTCCATATCTTCCATTAAAGCCGCTGCAGAATTCACATCATCAGACCTAATCAAGGAACTTATCAAAGCATTATAAGCCCCAATGTCAGGACACAAATTTCTCAGAGGCATTTCATCAAACAGTTGGCGTGCTTTGGCTATGTCCTTTGCTACCCCTGCTCCATGGATCAGAGTAGTGATTGTTTCCAATGTAGGCTCAAATTTTGCCCTCTTCATTTCTTCGAAAACTCTCAAACCATCCACGAAACAACCTCTTTTGCAATATGCATCCATTCTGATGCTGTAAGTCACAGCATCTGGCTTGAAACCTCTCCTGATCATCTCATGATAGAAAAGCTCAACAGCAGTAACATTGCTGGATTCCTTGAACCCTAAAAGCAAGAGATTCATGGTTTTAGTATTTGGGGGAAATCGAGAATACATCTTTAAGAACACTGATCGCGCCTCTTTCATCTGTCTCTGAGTGCAAAAGGCTCGAAGGAGCACATTAAATTCCTCAGTACCAAATTTCCTTCCAACAAACACTTCATTCTCCATTCTCCGAAACGCCTCGATCGTTTCTTCGAAGGATTGAAACTTCGCAATCTTCGTAAGCAAGATGCTCATGGATTTAAGAGTAAGCAAAAACGGATGAGTTCGTTGAATCTCACGCATCAACTCCCATGATTGATCGAAATACCTCATCCTCGCGAGAATATGAAGCGTCTTCTCAAAAGCATCTGGAGTTGGGGAAGCTTGAGAATGGTGGAGGCAGAATTTGAAGAACTCCAAAGCCTTGAGACCATTGGAATGCGCTGCAAACAAGCGGCCAAGAACGTCATTCAGGAAAGTGTTAGAAGGAAGAGGAGATGGAATATGGTGAAGAAGAGTAGGTCGAAGAGGCTGATCGGGAAATGGATGGTCGTTGATGATTTTGGTGATTCTTTCGATTTCACCTCCGGGTTCTGAAGATTGATGAAGATGAGTAGAAAAAGGAGCTGCAGGAATCAGAAAGGAATGGAAAAAAATGCGTATTTGAGAGATTTGAGTTAGCCTCGTCGGAATCACCATCTTCAGTTCTTCACTCTCCAGAGAACAGAGAGATGGCGGCGCTGTTGAACTATTGCAGACGCCGGGACCGGAGAGTGGAGCTTTTACAAGTAATTCAATATATGTATTAATTTTATTATTTTTTTAATAAACAATACATTTATGAGATAAATTTTTTTTTTTTTTTTTGTTGTAAATAATTGATCCATTGGTCGTTGGAGCGCGCCACTTTTAGGTACTTACAGAACGACGACGTTTAGCGGTGATTAACAGAATTTTTCATCCCCTTCATTTGTCGACGAACAGAAATCTCCGAAACTCCAAAAATTTTCTGTTACTTTCTCTTTGGATCTGATCTTCTTCGTTCTTTCTTTCTTTCTTTTCTTCGATTCGACGAATTTTCTCATCATTTTCCCGAGAAAATTCCCTTCCCGGGAAATGTCGCACAGCGATACAATTCCTCTTCATCAATCGTCCCAGTCGGACATCGACGAGATTGAAAATCTCATCAACGCCAGTGTCCAAACCGGCCCCACAACTGTTCTTGCAGCTCGATCCCCAAGTCCTCCCAGGGCTTCCATTCCTGTTTCCTCTTCCCCATTTTTACACTCCAATCTCCCATCACATCCCACCAAATCGACTAATCAGAAGCCGCCGTCTGTCTTCCCTGCTCCTCCGCCGTTGCCCGTCTCCAGTAATGGCAGGTCTGATGCATCGGCGACTGGTTTTGGATCGCAGCCCAACACTCTGACCGAACCGGTCTGGGATACCGTCAAGAGGGATCTGTCCCGGATCGTCAGCAATTTGAAGCTTGTGGTTTTTCCCAACCCTTTTCGTGAGGACCCTGGAAAGGCTTTGAGGGATTGGGATCTCTGGGGGCCTTTCTTTTTCATTGTGTTCCTTGGTCTCGTTCTTTCGTGGTCTGCATCCGTCAAGAAGGTCAGCCTCGTCAAAATTTTAGTTGGTTTAAATCGTTGATTGCCTGTGTTTTGTTTGATTTATGTTCCTTATATTAGCCTGTTTTGGCCTTTCCGTGCTCTGGTTCGGGATAAACTATCTGCAGATATTTAGATTTGAAACCGAGTTGAACGCATTGTTAAAATGTCCAATGCAGCTTAGTATATTGTCTCAGAGTAGCTGGAAGCGATCAGTCAAGTGACTGGAGCGCTTTTGTTCAGATTTCTTGAAACTGTCTTTGCTAGTTTTGTTTCATTGGATTTTAATAGGAACCGATGATTCTAGACCGTTGGAATACTGGGGAAATTATAGGAACACTTAAGCTTCAATCAATGGCTGAAATCTAATTGAATAGACGCATAAAAGTGTTGTAAATAGCTCAATGCAACGTTTAAATGCAGATGCAGTATGTTTAAATGGTTTGTAGGACATAAATCTCAGGAGATTGAAATGTGCATGAATGAAAGAAGAGTGCTGGAGACCACCTCTTTTGTGTGATTTTCCTTAAGGAGCTTGCTCCTTAGTTGTATTGGTGTAGCTAGCAAGTACCAAACGATTCCTCATAAAGGAAAAATGTTATGAATGAGGAAATTTAATGCAGAGGGGTCTATATCCCGCACATTAATCCTCCCAGAAGTATGTTTCTTAAGGGAGCTCATTGGATATTTCTTGAATATCTTGGATCCCATCACCCATTTACTCTCCCAAAGTAGATATCACTCCCATCACCCGCGATGCCCACCTTCTCCTTGGTGTCTTGGATCATTCTTTGAGCTTTCCCTCTTTCTCACTTTGTTTTTATCGTGTGTTGTCCAATTGGGAAACATCATATGTCATGACTCTCTTGTCTTTCAATAGGGAGTTTGAGCTTACACTAGGGGAAAGGGTTTGTTTTTTGAGTCCTAACCTACCGGTGGCTTTTCTTGTAGCTTGTTCTTTTGTTGCTTGATGAGCCCTTCTCCCTTTAGTTAGTTTTCTTTCTCTTCTTTGTGGAATGTACAAATTCCAAAGAAGGTTAAATTCTTCATTAGTTTGAAAGTTTATCCATTGAAGAGTTAACACTCTTGGTTGGCTTTCAAGAAAGTTTCCTTCTTTGATAGGACCGTTTTGTTGCATTCTTTGTTAGAGGTCAAAGGAAGAGTTGGATCATATCCTCTTGAGTTGTAATTTTGCATGGTCTTTTTGGAGTTTTCTTATATGTGTTTGGTTCAGTTTGCTAGACATAGAGATTACAGGGAGATAATTGAGATGTTCTTCATTTGTCATATCAGAAGAACGAGACGTTCCTATGGTAAGTCAGGATTGCAGAGGATTCTGGCACCAGATTTTGTGCTGGTCGATCCTCAAAAGTGAATGAGAAAATATTTTAGAGAAATTTATGTTGTATTGCATTTTTGGAGAGAAAGACATAGAAGAATTGGCGAGTTACATAGAGACTCTTATCAATGCTAATAGATTTTGTTCTCGTTGGATGGGTTTCTTGTATCACACATTTCTCTTGTATTGTTTTGTTCTTGTCAATGAACTTTCTTGTGTATACATATATGTTAGCAAAATAATCAGATGAAGTCTAGTCGGCTCGCGGTGATCCTCCTTTTGTTTCCCTGCGCCGCATTGTTGGATCAAGCTAATAAACTTCCTTCCCTAACCCCACTTCCTGCTGAAACAGAGAGAAGCAAATGCCTTTGAAAATGAAACCTAGATAGCCTTGAATTGCATTGATTCTTGCATTTTGCAATATCATGGAAGAATAGTTATATCCTTCTATTTAAAGGTCAAGTTCGGTATATATGTACGTAGCCAATTCAAGCATAACTTCATGCATAAGACACTGTTACCATCCCAAAGATAAGTTCGATTCCCCACCACTTTAAATGTTAAACTAAAAAAAACAAATATATATGTACATATGTTTATATTGAAAAAAACACTTTTAACTTGTCCTTATTTGTGATGCTCAATGGGGATGTGTGGTGAAATATCTTTATAATGTTGTTGTTTTCTTATATTCCACAGTCACCTTAGCATTTGAAACATTCTTAACCATTATCTATTTATCTATTTGATATTTTTCAACCGTTGTTTGCCCTTTATTCTTACTCTCTATATCTGCTTTCACTGAACTGTCATTCATCAAATATTGGCTTTTATTATTATTATTTTTTTTTTTGTTATTCTACTAATGATATGAATTGATTCTCTTTTCAGTCTGAGGTTTTTGCTGTTGCATTTGCACTTCTTGCTGCTGGTGCAGTGATTCTGACCTTGAACGTGCTTCTTCTGGTAACTAAATTTTTCACTCTTTCCTGCTTCCTTACCACTCTTCTATTCAAGAACATGCTTTTAATCATCACATTTGTTTTGTCGATTGGAACATAGAGTTGATACTTATTTAATCTTGCATTGTGCGGTCTTCTTGATTGTGTTTATTGTTAGAACTTAAAAGAGTGTAAGGGCATGTTCGGGAGTAATTTTCAACTATTTAAAATCACTTTTGTCATGCTTAAAATTACTCTCGAGAGATTCTTAAAATTATTCAAAATTAATTTCATGTTTGGTTTTTTTACTTTTAAACGCAATTTCCATACCATTAAAATTCTAAGGATATGTCCCCACCTCTAAAAATTCTATTGTTTCTCCTAAATCACTCTCTTCACAAGATAGCAAAACAAGCTTGGTACTAGATCCTCCCCTTATTACAAAATGACGAGTTCATCATGTCCTCCTTGAACAAAAGCTGATAGCCCCTATTACACACCACCGCAATTCCAAGCAAACGGAAGCATCAACTCCAGAGAGACTAAGCAAAGTGGCAACCCCACAAGAGATGATCAAGTTCCTCCTCCTGTTGTTTACAAAGAACCCAGACAGAAGGTGCAAAACCAAGGTAGTGTGACGCTGGATTCGATCCTAGGAACTTTTACCTTCCACAAGAGAGGAGAAAACAGAGGCCCCCTGAATTAGAGAAAGGGAACAAAGGACGGAGAAAACAAAGGAGAAGAGATATACCTAGGAGGATTAGGATCCCAAACTCACAAATCCTTTCCCCTTAGAAAAAATCTCTGATCTGAAATAACAGAAAGAAGGCCCTCCAAAAGACGCTCGGCAAGCTTTCTGATTTAGTTTCTCTAACTATACATATAGATGTTAGTAATTAGAATTTTCCAAAGTTCCCCTTCTTACCACTTTATATCAAAGCTTAATTCATTTTCTTCAAATTCTCTACACCAAGGCCACCTTTTTCTGATGGTTTTCCTTGTTTATTAAGCCCCCCCCTAGAAATCTCCCTCCTCCCTGTAGAATGGAAATTTCTCTTTCTCATCCTTCCGGTTGACTTTTAATATTCTATGTATTCATATATACATTGGTTTATGGCATCCATCTCCTTTGTGGAAGTTCGTTAAAAGGAAAAGCTCGTAGTTCGTGGGAAAATGCTTTTAGTGCCATGTTTTGTCTTGTCTAATCAGATATAAGCGTTGCTCACCGCCCCTAATGAGCTTTCGTTGCTACATATCTCTAGTCTATTACAAAAATAACTGGAGAGTTGCACTTTGGTTACTGCAGGGTGGACAAATAATCTTCTTCCAAAGCTTGAGTCTTTTGGGATATTGCCTGTTTCCTCTAGATGTTGGAGCATTGATCTGCATGATGAAGGACAATGTAGTAGTGAAGATAGCCGTGGTATGTGTGACCTTGGCATGGAGTTCTTGGGCTGCATATCCTTTCATGAGTTCAGCTGTGAACCCAAGAAGAAAAGCTCTTGCACTCTATCCTGTGTTCCTTATGTATGTATCAGTTGGTTTTCTGATCATTGCCATTAATTGAGATGCATTAACAATGGTGCTCTTAAAAGGGTTTTGGTAAGAAGAGATCGATATGATGATTGAGTAATGATTTAGGAACCTCATGAACTGATCAATATTTCTCTCACCTTACTGTAACCCTTTCTTTTTGACTTATATCATATAATGTCTTGAAACTCAGATCTGCCTACATCATCATATTCACTGTCTTGCAAGTTTTCTTTCATGGAAATCCAAGACCGTGTAATATTTCTTGTAATTATGATATGCCTTCATTTCTTGAATGCAATCATTTTATGGCTATTTCTCGTCTGGAATCAGAACTGTT